GATGTCAAAGAAATCGGTCTGTAATTATCTACCTTGCTGCGGGCAGCACCTTTCGGAATCGGCCTTACCACCGAGCATTTCCAATTAATCGGCAGCGAACCTATGGACAACTACCTATTGCTCAGGCCTGTTGCACAGGCCAGTCGCAGAAGGCAAGATGATGGCCGATACGAAGCTGCGAATCATGGGGTGAAGACCATCAGCCCCATCAGGCTTAGTCCCGTCAAGGTTGACGAGGAGTTGACGCACCTTTTCTGCGCCACAATCCAGGCTGTCAACTTCGATAGGGGCGGTGCACCTCGAACTCGGTACAAACACCTGGTTATTTGCAAACACGGAGGCGAAATGCGCCACCAAAGCGGACGCAAGCTCAGTGCTGAAGGTTAGAGGCTGTCCGTCCGCGCCGGCTATCACTAGTAGGTCACTTGTCGGCTTCGGGCGCCGCTTCACCTACGCAAAGATTCTCTTCGGAGCAGTCTTTGCGACGGTTACAACCTGCTCTTTAAGGTGCCAACACCCACCTTTTCACACAGTTGCATTGTTTCGCTGCTTTTTATACGCCTCGTAGTCGTCCACTGAGCTGGAGACCAGGAATTTGTCCCACAATTGCCGCCGCCGCCGCTGTGCCAGCTTACCAGGTTCCTTTTCAAGCCAACGTGGTTTCACTGATCCGACTTTGGAGACACAAACTGGTCGCTTCATATTTTATAGCTAACCGGGAAGCTTTAACAGCTGCAGATTGCGACAGTAACCAGTCTACTTGGCTTGTGTCAGGCCGCCGAATTCCGTCTTCGTAGTTATGAGCTGCCTGCGGTGCGTGAAATTGCTGCACCGGTAGCTCCATGTTGTCAATAAGAACTGAGGGGTCACTTGCTGCCAGCGGCTCCAGGATACGAATGTCATACGTATGTTGTTCAGTTTGTTAACATCAAGTCTACGCACCATAGAATTGAGCGCGGTGTTATGCGCGTCGGTTGGCAAATGTGTTGTGTTGCCCAAGCCCCATCTACCATTTCGGCGAGCTTCACTTCAATATCATAATATCCGGTGATAAGTTCAACTTCAGACCTGCGTATTCGAGGCCAGCTGAAGTAACTTATGAGTAGAACATGGGAGCGGATCGTGTGGTCCTGGAGCTGCGGCAGCCAGTCCAAACAACGGCTAACGAGACTGCGACAAAAGGCACCGATCAGTAGCTCTCCGCGCCTGAGGTGGATCAAGCACCGCAACTGCCCAGATAGGCCATCTTCGCTTTGGTGAGCACTCACCATCCATCTACACAGAGAAGACTAAATGTAGAGCAATACGCCACCGCAGACATTCGATAGCTTGTCACGGCAGAAGCACGAATAGCCACCAAGCTTAACTTCATCATTGTTCAACCACGACTCTGTGAGTCCCATTACATCTGGTCGCTCGAAAGCAACGAAACAACACAGCTCATCGCGTTTGTTCTTAAGATTGCAGACGGAAAAGGCTACAAACAGGCAGTGGTAGACACTACCGAACGAGTCTGAAGTGTGAGCGACCGATTTATCTGAATTCACGTTCTTATTGTAGTCACCCGAAAATTCGCAATACATAGAGTTGAAAAGCGCGGAAAAAAGACGAATACTGATAGACGCAAGCATTTCGTATTGTCTATTCAGTGCCATTACCAATAACCGATATGTCTGGATATAGCTAACATTGGGTGTGACCAGACATGCTAGAGGTGTAGAGTTAGTGACGGAAATTCTCACCTATGTCCACGGCATAGATTACTTTCTTCCTTATCCTTTCTTTCTGTCTTCCTTATCCTTTTGCCTCTCAGTCTACTCCACTGAGACAGTAATAGCTTCGGGCTGGCCCCATCAGCACAGGTCGGTCTTTCTCAGCAATGCTTTTGCCGAAGCAGCTAACCTGCATCATTTTCACTACTTCCCCACCCACATCGAGGTGCTTATCAACCACGCTCTGTAAAATCTTTGTGTAATGCCCATCGTGTGTCTGAGGACATGGATCTTCGGACTAGGGTAAGTGGAAGGGCAACGGATTTGATCGCCTCTTATCATTCGGGGCGTTTCTTGGGGGGGGAGAGTGACCTCGAGCCTTGCTTGACCCAACTTATTGTTGAGCAACAGCGGGAAGCTACTCTTCGTTTCCCAGATTATTCTGTCGTTGCGTTTTCCATGGTTTATCAACCATTAAACATACGTCTGGATCATTTGCTTTAGTGGATACCATGCTTCTGGAAAAATTAGGATGACCAGGTACTGAATTGTCAGAGGAAGAAGAAGATTGGCTTCAACCTCGGATAGAATTTATGCCAGTTTGTCTGCTATTATGTTCAAAACTGCTCACAGCTAAAAATTCATTAGCGTCGATCTGCATCGTTAGCTGTTATGCGTTCCTCTGGATGACATCGATTGCGGCAATCGTTGCAAAAAACCGGGATAAAATCATTCTAAATGAAACGCAAGAGACGATAGGAATCGGCAAGTAATCCGACACACGTGTATCCAACCATTTTCGAACAGGGACCACAAGATGGTTTCTTTAGCGTTTTGGAAGAATGGCATAAAAGCGAAGTAAAACGGTGGGACAGAAATTGCAAGACGGAAATCACGTACTAATGTGCACTGCGAAGAATCGGATTGGTCACCCTTCGTTGCGTCATTCCAAGTGTGGCAAAATCGTACTTGGGCCAGAAATGCCAGTCGTGGATGGCCTATTCCGGATGAAGCCCAGTGTAGGCTTTGATCATCTGGAAGAAGATGGAAGGGTGAAAGCGCCCGAGTGTCCTCCGCAATATGCTAAGGTGAAGGTTGACTTTTTAGATGCTTTCTCGGCCTGATGAGAACAGCCAAGATCGGTTTGTATCTTCACTCCTAGGTCGCATTCAGCTGAGACGCGCTACACAGCTTAATCCACTAGACTGTATTTGCAAGTAGATTGACGGCACATGTTCAATGTCTTACACTTGGTGGCGTTGAAATAAGTTGCCTTTTCGTATACCATCTCAACTTCATCATGCAATACTGAGTGGTCTCTTCTTGTTTTGACGGCTCGTCCTATCTTGACGTCATCAACGAAGAGTAAGAAATGTGAGGTGATCAATCTTGCACAATCGTTTATGTATAGCAAGAATAGGCGTGAAACAACTACTGAGCCATGTGGCAGTCCATACTGAACTTCGATAGGGTCAGAGATGGTGCGGCGAACTCTCACATTCAGATGTCGTTGAAGCAGGAAGCTACCTATCAAATCGAGGACCGGATCAATAACTGGATTTATCCCCTACCGTACATACGTGTGCGTTCTTGAATAATACGAGGTAGTGTTCTTCCCGTACTACGCTACTAGTAAGCGACATACCCGATGAAACACGGAACCGAAAAGGCAAATGGAGGCTGATCATGAATAAGGGGAAATAGCGCACTTGTTACCGCATCGTGGGTTAGATTTGAAAAATTTTGAGTAGACTTTGATATATCACAGAGGTAGCATGCGTGATAGACATGTGAGCAACCTTATAAAAAGTGGCAACTAGTACCAGCACCTGCATCTATTGCGCTGAAATTTCAATCGGTCACTTCAAAGCTTAGAAGAGGGGGCAGTGTGTTGACCACGGATACCGAAACAACTATTATATGGTCAGCTAAGTATTGGGAAACGGCGTGCGGGGAAACCGAAGCTTCGTTATCAGGACATGATCAAAGTGAGCCTCAGTTTCTAATCTTGATTGTTTGTCATGGGAATCAAAGGCAGTTGATCGGCATGCATGGCGCGATCTGATCACGAAGGCAGTTGATGAGGTGCGGGAGAAAGACCTCATGCACGCTAAGAAGAAGCGGCAAGTGCGGAAGCGGCAAGCACCGATGGGTTGTACTCCGTCGACATCGAGCGCATGGTGCTGTAGCACATGTGCTCGCGAGTACCTGAGTCAGGAATACCTAGTGAGCCATGAGTGAGGCCACTCGGGACCAGCAACGAAGCGACAGTGGGTCCTGCAGAGAACGTAGGCACAACCGGCACAGCGTTTGTAGGTACGCTGCATTCGATTTACTAACCACGTGGTTGCATGCTGAGTCTCTTTATTTCAGGTGGTGCGTTTGCTATATTATTGCCTGCGTCAATTATCTTCTAATAACTCGCACATGTTGCTCAAGTAAATTGTAGTTAACTTTGACAACATTTTCTCGGTTGTGACATTTTCTTAAAATATATTTTCTGACGTCTCGAAACTATAGCGGAATTTTGCAATCAATTTTTCCATATGCTCATTTAGCGAAGAGTTAAGTCGCTTTCTCAGTACGTATTATTTTGCAACTATTTTGTGAGACTGTCATTTCAAGTGATTGGCTGTTGTTCGACATCCCCGGTGTGGCTGCACTTGATATGCATGTTGACAAGATGTCTACCTGTATAACACGCACCACCTCGATTACTGGCTCCAGGAGACAGTTTGTCGTTGCTGGAGGGGACAGCGTGCACAGTCCTTGTGGCCGTGTTAGGATCAAAGAGTGGTTCCATGCACTCAGTGTGGAGCGGACTACGGTCCACCCACCGCCTTGTGTGCGCTTGATTCCCCAAATGCAGCGTGCTTGTGTTTGCCTGTGAAGGAGTGTGGGCCGGTTCCGTAGATGAAATGTGGCTCCCATCCACATGCCTCCCTGTCTTATTCCTTCGTGTTTGCACTTGATATGGGGTGTGTGGTTGGAGCTATGGGTGGTGCGGCGCAATCCACCCATGGTCCCTCTGTAGGCACAGGCGTCGTGTTAATGGCCACAGTGACAGGCAAATCCGAAAGCGGATGTCGCCAATCATGTTGGCCACGGTGACGCACCTGGCTTCGGTATGGTTTGCGAGGTCTGGAATTTATTTATAATGCTCAAACCGGTAAACTAACTGCAAAATCAGTCATTTCCTCTTGTTTATATGTGGTTGTCTGTAGTTTGCAGTCATCGAGTTTCTCATTATCGCTTGTGTTGAAACTTGTAATCTCCTTTTCCGGTCAGGAATGCAAGATTACAATTACTTGGCCACAAATGCGTTCGAAATTACATTGGAAGTGAGCTGTGAGAAATTCCCCGATGAAATCAGTCTGTTGAAACTTTGGAGTGAGAACATCGATTCACTATTAAACTTTCTAATACAGGTACGCGATTGTGTTACGTATTGTAAATGGAACAATTGTTTATTATGGGTACAAGGACATTTACATAGCAGGATCCGTGTAGAGATTATGCATGCAAAAAACCAAAACAGCAAGATAGCGCCATATTAAAAACAAGATTGTTGTAATAGGATAATAACATGCAATAAAGCTTGAACGAGTTACCATAGTTAACGCCTCTTGTGAAGTACATTCGGACGGCTCACCCGTTTGCACCGATTTACTCGCGTCGGTGCGGATTATGATTCCGGAGCGTATCTGTTGAAGTGACAAACTGTAGGGAGATGAGTGCGATATGCAAACATCTTTGTTAAACATAACAACTGTCGGCACACAATTAAGTTTGGAATAGCACTCCAGGGTGAGCAGATCCGGAAAGGAAAGTAAGTTGGTCGATAATTTCGATAACTGCCCTGTTGATTTACTTTTTAACTTATTGCTTCTCAGCTTAGTGTTCGGGCTGAGCTTCGATCGGTGGCAGCACGTGTGACTGGTATCCCTCTGTATTTGTTATACCGTTATGATGCCGATTCGTAGCCACCTGTAATAAACTAGTAATAATGTGTCAACTGTACGCCGTAACGGCGCTTCGCTGCCGTGCGACCACCACTAGTCGCACGCGGGCTGTATACCACGAGGATACCCACTCCTACGCGGATTCGAACCCTGGCCGCAAGATTACGAGATAAACTCGTTACCACTAGGCTGCGGGCCGACCACCTGTAGCGTCCAGTAAAAACTGAACGCTGCAACGTCATGCTTTAACCTAGGTTACCAAGTCGGTGTAGTGTATTCGATATGGGGACTCACATAGCCATTGCGCATTTGGAAGATATGGATGAATCTAAACTTTCTAGTGCCGTCCGAATGAGAACAACATGCTGATTACCTCTTTTTGAGGCGAGTGCAGATTGTCTGGAACAACCGAAGTAGTCCTATACGGACACACCTGCGTCGTATTCATGCGACGTGGTCTGCAGGAGTGTTGGGGGTGAAGATGAATTCGGCAGTGTGTTTCTTGCCGACCAATGCAAGGCTTCGTCAATGTTCAGCATGAAGACATCGTGGCCGTCCAATCACTTGATCACTGGACAAATTTCAGCATCGTTCGCGATGCGTGGAAAATTTGAACGAATGACTCTTATTAGGTCACTAATGGAGACTAAAAACAAACGAAGTTCAGGTACCAAACATTGTGCTATGCCGCAGTCAGGTCGAATTGATTCGGACAAATATGTTTGGGCTCTAACCGCTAACTGCTGCTCACGGAGAAAGTTGTCAATCCCTCCCCATTCTAGATCAACTGTGCCTTAGCTCAGAAAGTTGTAAAGCAGTACACGATGGTCCAAATGATCGACCGCTTTTGGAAAATAGCAGTAGGTGACATCGGTTCCTGTCTTGTTGTCTCGTGCAACTAACAAGTTGTTCTGGTGACACTTGTGCAACCATCCTCTCCTCCAATCGTCATTTTTAGCTTCACTGTGGTAAACAATATAGAGAGGGCACTGTACCAACACCACGCAGTGAAATTCCGTATGGTGTGTATCATGGTGGTTGGCGCCAGGAGGTCCCCTACTCTCCACTCAAATGAATGACTTCTGAGCATACCATGGGATATTTTAAAACTGTGAAGCATCGCTTAGATCCTCCTTTGTTAAAAGCGCTCAACAGATATGTGGGCTTCAAAACCAGGATAGCGAAGGCGGACATATGTCTCGATTTTCTCGCTTAGTAGAGGTCTTATCATTAGGCCCTAAATTCTGTTTTCCTGCTAGGAAGGATAATAGACTAGCAATAGAGGCCGTTTGAAAATGTGTGCATACAGACCTCTCAGCTGATTCCTTGTTCTGAAATGATGTGGAAGAGTTATAATCATTTCTAGTGCATGCATGCCACCAGTACCGACGTGCGAGGATAGTACATAACACTCCAGTAACACAAGAACATCTTGAAGCTCTTAACCGTCTGGTTAACAATGATGAGGTCTTACTCACTCGGCCAGATAAGGGCGCGGGCATTGTTATCATGAACAGAGTGGACTACTTGAGCAAAATGAAGAAATACTGGCAGATGAAACCAAGTTTCTGAGGGCCATAGGTGAGAAAGACAAAACAAAACAGATTGAAACTCAACTTTGCAACTGTCTTAAACGGCTTCGAAAGGATGGTTACATCAACGAAGCCACTTATGAACAACTTCGGCCGGTAGGAACGGTTATTCCAAGGCTTTATGGGCTACCAAAAACTCACAAGCCTAACGTCCCCCTTCGTCCCGTCTTGGATATGAAAAACTCCCCATATCACTCGATTGCTCGGTGGCTGGTTTTGATTCTTACGCCTATTCGAGAGCGAATTGTTGTGCATAGTGTGAAGGATAGTTTTGAGTTTGTGGATATCGTGCGTGATGTAAATGTTTCCAATCTAACCATGTGCTCCCTCGACGTTACTTCACTCTTCACCAACGTACCATTAGTTGAGACCATAAACTACATCTGTGAGTATGTTGATGCAAACCACATTAATGTTGGCATACCCACGGTGATCCTAAAGGAACTATTGCTCAGATGCACGTTCAATGTTCAGTTTCTATTCAATGGCGAATTATACCGGCAGTGCGATGGGGTAGCGATGGGTTCCCCACTGGGTCCGTTCCTCGCCGACGTCTTCATGGGCATGCTGGAACAGGGAAAGCTAAAGCCAACGATCTCAAGTCTCGGTTTATATTGCCGTTACGTAGACGACATTTTTGTCTTGCTTCAGTCGTCTCGAAGTATCGAGGAACTAACAAACACGTTCAACCAAGGCCATCCAGCAATAAAGTTCACCTGCGAAGTTGAGGAAAACAGTCGCTTTCATTTCCTCGATGTCGCCATGAAAAGACTGGATGGGGGTGCGCTACAGCGCTGCGTCTATAGGAAAAGTACGTGGAATGGGCAGTACACAAACTTCTACAGCTTTGTGCCACTTAGGTTTAAACGGAACTTGATAAATACCCTAGTGAGCCGAGCTGAACGTATCTGCTCGAATGACACGCTTCCGGAAGAATTAGAGTGCATTCGCTTAGTGCTAAGGGAGAATGGCTATCCGGAAAGCTTCATCAGAGCCAACATGGAACATAAGAAGAAAAAGCCTGTAGTTTTGACAGTAGAACGTAAGCCAATCTTCCTACAGCTGCCATACAAGGGCGAGGTTGCGACGGAACTTCTATCTCGTCGTCTTTCGTTTGCACTCAGACGCACCTATCCAGCAGCGCAGATGCAAATCCAGTTCACTAGCATTCCGATGGTGAGACTAAACTCAAGGGATAAGAGGCCTGTCCACACCAACTCAATGTGTATCTACTCGTTTTCATGCTCCTGTGGAGCGGAATACATTGGTCGTACGACACGGCGTCTATCTGAGAGAATGAAGGAACACCACCCGGTCGGGCTTAGAACTGGAAGTGGAAATACAGCGAACTCTTCAATAGCCGCGCACCTAGCCGATACAGGGCACGCCACAAAGTTCACTGATTCGTTCAAACTTATCTATCAGGCCCCAAAGCACCGCTCGAACTACGTCCGCAAGCGACTACTAGAAGCCGCTGAAGCAATTGCGATCCGGCTGTATGAACCGGAGCTATGTGTTCAGAAGAAGCTAACTAAAGGCTTGGGACTGCCCTGGCCCAAACGGCCGGTGACCTCTGACCCACGAGGTCACACGCGGTCGATTGTCGTGGCTTAACAGACAGCGCTGTCAGCATCCAATTAACTCGCTCCAGTAGTAACGACTTGTAATGTCTGTCTGCACATTTTGATTTGCATATAATTGTATAAGCCTGAAGATGAATTATCGAAAACATATGTTCGCTTACCCTGACTTCAGAACGAACATCACCTGAAATACTCAGAGGAGAGAATGGTAACTCTCAGCCTCTACTGGGTTTAATACTTAACGGAAAAGCACATCGCCGCGCCTTAGAAGTTGATCCATCTCCGGGCTACCTGGATTACTTGATCTGCACTGAAGTATATGGGGAAATGCATGGCCACTGCATTACAGCGAAATCATCCTCTCCGGTTACAACCTCGCCTTCAGCGGGTACGGCCGTTTGTGAAATGTAACAGCAAGGTAGGACGAATCTTATTTTGGAGCTCCGAAAAGGACACTCGTTTCTCAGATGCTCGAGAAATTTTTTGGCAAATATTTATCTTAGTGGAGACGTGGGTTCAGTTGAACACCATCTAATCTTCCCGAACAAGTCTTCAGGTGAATACCAGCATCGATTTCCTTTGTTCCTGCTTTTCCTTTAACCTGCGCACAATAATTTGTTATCAAAGCAAAGCATGTATACCAACTTGTGCATTCAGCCAAGTCGATCTATTTTACCGGAAGGACGGAATCACGCCTTAACCGCTGTCGCAGTTCAGCTCTCTAGAGGTGAGCATGGCCCACAATACACACGAGGTCAGGCGATCGATGCTGCCTATAATGAATCGATTTGGAAAACAGGTATGATGGAGTAGTCTACCATGACCCCACGGGGCGTCTGAGAGTACGCGCTATAGCTTTGCGTACATTAAGTGGAGACTCCAATACAGTTTATGCGTGATGTGCGCGAGACGGTGGTTCTTAAGTTAACTGAAATCTGCTTACTAGGTCGAGAAGACGACGAGTTGAAGTGCTTCTGTCTTCGATTGGTAAACTTGTAGCGTCCTGCCAACATAAAGCATGTGTAAATGTTGTCATGCAGTCGTACAGGGGAATGCGGTTGATTTGTCCTCTTAGACACCGTAACTATTACGCCTACCCACTGATATATGCTATGAAAGCTGTTTATGGCATTAGCAGTAAACTAATCCACTACTTGAGCTTAACACGCATACAAAATGGAGTGAGTTACAGTATCGGCACATAGTTCACGAATCCTTGGTCTGTAGAGCACATCGCATTTTTGCTAAATACAACAAAATAGGGGAAAAGTGTACCCCAATATGTTCGCGG